GAATAAAGCACTCTCTTTATAGGTACAGAGAATCCTATTTATAATTTAAAATGGAATTGCAGATTCCATAATCTATGATGAATGTATCAGTGACTGGCACAAATTTGTATGGTTTTTATTTTATTTTATTTTTTTGCACCTATCTTCAGATAGAGCGGGAGGGAGAGAGAGAGGAAGAGAGAGAGAGAAATGTCGATGCGAGAGAGACACATTGAGTAGCTGCCACCCACATGACGCCAGCTGTGGCTGGAGACAAACTGCAACCGAAGTACATGCCACTAGCAGGAACCAAACCCGGGACTCTCCTGTCCATGGGCCGACGCTCCAACCGCTGAGCCAAACCGGCCAGGGCTGTTTTTTTTTTAAATGATGTCAAACATAACTTCTCTTGAAATATATTGTTCATAGAGTAATAATTTTGGTGTATTTGTCATTCTTAAGTGTTAAATTTCTGGTACTAAATACTAAGCATACAGAGTAGAATGAACTAGAGAGTGAAAATCCTGTTTTGACCTATTCATAAAATTTTTATGAAAACTGTATTGTTCCTGTCACATAATAAAACATAAAAAATATTTTTTCTCTATAATAGATATTTTATGTACATTGTCTTAAAAATGATGTTTTTTTTTCCTCCAAAGGAATGTTCAAGAAACTCATACAAGTTTGTGAACTGGATTTTAAATGGAGGCTAAGTTATACCTCAATTTTAGGAGGAATACAGAACAGTTTTGTTTTGTTTTCTTAAAATCAGAACAAACCCTTCCTGGACTGTTTGGCTCAGCAGTCGAGCATCGGCCTGCAGACTGCCAGGTCTCAGATTCAATTGCCAGTGAAGAGCACGTACCTGGGTTGCAGGTTTGATCCCCGGCCCTGTCAATTGTGCAGGAGGCAACCAGTCAATGTCTCTCTCCCACATCAGTGTTTCTCTCTCCCTTCCATTTTATCTCGAAATTCATGGGAAAATATCCTTGGGTGAGGACTAAAAAAAAAATCAGAACAAATTCTGAATTAGGAGTCAGAAGCCTAATTTTCATTCCCAAGTGTTTGAATAAGAGACTTGATCAAAGGCATAAAACAGGTTAACTTTCCTCAGAGTTTTTTTCCTTTTTAATCTATAAAGTGATGATAATAATTTGAGGGTCAGAGTAAATAATACATATTAAAGTATCTTGAATATTGTCGTGTGCCATACAATAAAAGTTATTTTTACTCTTATCTTGAATATGGAAAGTAATATGCAGCTGAATCATATAGGAGATGATATCATCAACCTTGCTTATTGACTTGTTGGTAATCAGTATTTCATCTCAACTTTCAAAGTCTGTGCAAACTCTTCCATATTTTTGGGAAATCCTTTCTAAAATTTTACAGCTATTTCTAGGTAAATGCCTTCTAATTTTTACCACAAGTCTTTTATTTTGTTGCATAAGTTCATGCTTTTCCTTTTGGTTTTCCCTCAGAAGAGTTAGAATTGCCAGCCATCTTCTGCATAATACTCATGTTTATTGATTTACTCATCCAACATTTCCTAAAGTGGTTACAGTGTGCTGGTATTATTCTGATCTGTCAAGTTCACTATACATAATTTTGTGATGAGCTAATATGGGATCTGTAGGTTTGTTATTGTTTTATTTTACATTAAACCTCTTAAAGGGGGAAGAATGAAAAGCTAAGTCATTCTGTTTTCCAAGTGGAAGTTGAGACTCCCTTATTAGTGGGCCCACTTAGCAGTAAAAGGCTTGGAGGAAGCCCCTAGTATAATTCTGATGATTCCTGCCTCATACTCCACAGTGTAGGGTACCTTCTATATTTTTTAGAGCCATGGTGGTAAAGCTTTAGTTAGAATAGGCACAGAAATTTTTCAAGGCTCTGCTTCCTAAATACAGCCTCCTCACAGGTAATAGAACTCTGTTGAAAAGGGAAAAGCCAGAGCTAAGATCTTTCTGTTGCTAGTCTCCCACAGTGGAGTATCTGGGAGAACGTTCTGATGTCAGAGTGCTTATATTAATGTACAGCTAATGTAAAGGCAGGCAGGCATACTCACAGTAAGAAAAATATATTTTAGTCATCCAGGCAAAATCCATATTTCACTTGAATGATGAGGACCATTTACTTTAGTTTTCAGACCCATGTTCCTGTGTGGCATTCTCCCCAAAGTCAGTAAAAACATACAAAAGATTTATAATTATCTTAAATGAATTTTTGTCAAGGGATGATTTTTTTTTTTGCATGAATTACCAGGTGATATCCCATTTTTAATTTACATTTAATCTAAAATATTGAGAAAAATTGTGCTTATCTATAAGTGCTTTTTTGGAATTTTAGCTTTGTAATAAGTACTGTAATTTCTTAAAACTCAGTTTCTTGAAACTTGTATGAGTTTGTTAAACATTTCTTGAAACTCAGTAACTGAACCAGTTTTTAATTATAACTAATAAACCTCTAAGGTCCTCTAAGAACTTGTAAAATTTCTCCTTTTAATATGACTTCTTTTAAAATTTTTTAAATGAATTTTTTAATTTATTTTATTATCACCACCAGATTCATTCACTACCACAATTCCTTAATGTCTCCAGTAAGAGGCACCAGTGATAATTTGTAATATTAAAGATGCTTCTGAGGTGGAATTATTGCAGGTTCAAATGCTAGCTACTGGACTGCTAACGCATTCTGAACCTGTGCCTGGTCCAAAAAAAGGTTTCCTGCCCAGGACACAGGGTCATATGATGAAATGAACTCTTGAAATACAATTCCTTCCTCTGAAGAACACACTGTATTTCATGATTTTGTGAAACAAACTTATGCATTTTATCCTTCACTGTCTTTAGTAGTGAATTGCAGAGCATTTCCTGTATAAGTAAATATTCATAATACCCTACACCTTCTAACTTTTTAAATGTTAATGTTAGAAATAATATTGTGTTCTATTTTTTACTTTAACACAAGTGTTATATTATGATCTCTAAGGTCCTATTTTGCTTTTTTAGTACTTCAGTTTATTTCGTCTAGGCTGGAGTATATTTACTATCTATTAATGTTTTGAAGGATGAACAATTTAATATCTGTAAAGTACTTTGACGTAGTTAAAGCAAAAACCCGTGTAACCTTATAAAGTATTAGCATCATCTTCATCTTATCATCACCCTCCCCTTAAAGATGATAGTGTAATTTATTCAGGACTATCTAGCAAGCCACTGGCAGAGTTAGTACTAGAACTCAGAGTTCCAGGGCTGCCTTTGCTCTGTGACACCAACTTTAGGTCAGGTGGCTAGCTCTTTGGAGAATAGAAATAGAATTCAGTTGACCTTGGCACTTTGGAGAAGTGGTTGGTTAAATGTAGAATTGTTTTTAAAGGGACAATCATGGAGTAATTAGAGACAAAGAAAATCTCTAGCAATCTGTCATCTTTATTTTGACAAACTTTACTAGAAGAAATCACTGTTGGACATGCTGGAGTTGTGATGTATCAAGGAAGATTAAGTTTAATTATCAGGAAAAATTCTAAGTTATACAACTTTGAGCCATGGAATATATTTTTGGAAGAAGTAAAATAGTAACTTTAGATTATTAGAGAACAGTTATGACAGAAATAACAGCTTGAAGCAATGCCCTTAGTCAGGATTTTATGGATGTCACCCTCAGAGAATCTAACCGACTGTACTAGTACTGCCAGCTAGAGAAGCCATACTTTTTCCTGGTGACTTTGCAACTTTTTGCATGGTATCTACATGTTCCACAGAGCCATATGACCTACAGTAAACAGTGCATAGTTAAGACAGGGTAACAATACTCAACTGGACCTAGTTGAGTTCCAACAGTGGGACTGGATCTTTATGTCTTTTTCAGTTACATATTTATTTTAAGATAATCAGCTCTGCTCAGTCCAAGGATGGCCAAGAAAGATTGCTTCCAATTTTGGGTTGACATTGTTCACCAGAATTGTGAGGAGGCTACCCTTTTCTGAATCCACCCTGCTTTCCTTCCCAGCATCCCCACTTCCACCTGTGGTATGCAAGGATATGGTTTACTATTGTTATACTTGCCTGCTAATCCCAGGAGACAGGTAAAAAGGAAGCTGAGAGAGCGTGCAGACCTTCTTAAGTCTATATTTCTATGACTAACATCTTAGGAAATGTTTTATACTGAATTAAATCCTCTTTTGTACTTACATATTTTAATGCTAAGCTTTTTAAATTACTAAAAATTTTAGCCCTGACCGATTAGGCTCAGTAGTTAATAGTGTTGGCCCATGGACCAAAGAATCGAGGGTTCAATTCCGGTCAAAGGCATGTACCTTGGTTGAGGTTTGATCCCTGGCCCTGGTTGGGGTCATGCAGGAGGCAACCAATCAGTGTGTCTCTCTCACATGAATGTTTCTCTCTCTCCCCCTTCTCCTGACTATCTAAAAAATATATATATATCAATGGAAGAATATCCTCAGGTGAGGATTTTTTTAAAAAGTACATTTAAACAGTGAGTTCAAAGCTCAGATTTTTTAAAAAATTGGCCATACATATGTGTGTTGATTTATGTTTTAATCTTTCAAACCATTAACTTGAAATCAGAAATGTGGTTTTATACAGAATATATAAAAGGAGAGAATGATCACTTTGCAAAAGGATTATTTATTTACTTTATCAACAAATTTATAAGAATAATCTGTTAAAAAACAAACTTCCCTAATGTATTTGAAGTATTTGATTTTACGATGTAAGTCACATAATACATATAATAAAAATAGCCATTTCAGGTATTCTGATTTATATATTATTGTTTTAATTAGAGTAAATATTCAAAAATGAGTAATTTAACATAAAAAATATATAAACTGACCTATTAGTGTAACTCTAAGGAATATTACAAAGAAGTGGTCATAAGTATTTATTAAGTAAAATTTTTCCATCTTAAATGAATATATCATAATTATTTTAAATATGGTTTGGTAATGAGTCCTCTGCAAAAGTCATAATTTTATTCAAGATTTTATTTTATTTTAGGTTTTAATTACAACTAGGACAGCTGCTGATAATTTTAGCACCCAGTATGTTTTAGATGGCAGTGGCCACATAATTTCTCAAAAACCTTCACATCTTGGTCAAGGTAAGAGAGTAGCTTTGTAGTATTCTTTGCCTTTTCTGTCTTAATCGTTTATTTTTAAAAATTTTTACTCCGTAAATTTAAATATATTGCTTCAAATTTAGTCCTGATAATAGTGACTTAACTTCCAGGTGTACTTTAGCCACTGGTTTCCTAAATACTTAGAGTTGTTCTCAAGAAACACTGTGTGAAAGACTTTGGACATCAGCATGGATTAGTTACTCTGTAAAAACTGTAAGAGCAATTATTTTATTCTTACTGGATTACTACTATCTTCTTTATATATAAAGGATAATACTTTATTGAAATGCCTAAAACATTGTTGATTTAGTTGTCACGGTAATAAACCATACCATCAAGATATTATGATTAAATCATTTAAAATACATTTATTTACAGAAAACTTTAAAAATGTACACAGTAAATAGAACAGTGTACACCACTCAGTTTCAACAATTATTAACTCATTACTAATATTTCATTTAATACCCTCATGCACTTTCTTCCTTTCTGTATTATTTAAAGCATACTAAGAAAACACTTTTTTTCTCATTTATTCAATTAGTAGAAATGAGCTCATCTAATTACTAATTAATTTGATGTATAGTAATATTGTACATATCATTTAAAAACAATAGATTGTGATTCTTTTTTTTTAATATATGGAAGATTAGGACAAAGAGACATTTTTAAATATGATTTCTCTCCAGAAATGCTCTGACTCCAATTCTTAGAAGTTCAAATTAGGAAACCATTAGGAAATATTTGAGTGGCTGTTCAGTAGAGTACTTTGGAGTAATCTAGTCACCTTACAAAACTTAAATGTATTTATTTTTATCTTAGTATTAGCCAGTCTAATGTGGATGGCCAATGGCTTTGCATCACTCATACTTCTCATGCTTTCTTGTATTCATCTTCATAAGAACTATGAAATAACAACAGTTCTTAGATATGAAGTTCTTCTGATCTTTGCCTGTTTTCTGATTGATTTTTCTTTTCTTACTGACCTACGTCTTCTACTTTTAGTAAGTGAGATCAGATATGCATATTAAGGAATTTCTATAGTCAACAAATGAACCTCATTTTCTTTAGCAATATTTCTTTTACCTTAGGAAACAACGTACTTGGAAAGTCAGTAGTTGCTAAACTAGTAGTAATTGCCTTTCATAGCTCACTTTTTTCTCCTAATTACAGTTTCTTGGCTAGGAAAACAACACAAAAATCAAGCTGTTAGTTTCAGTTGCTCTAGGTGGATGTATTATAGAAATCCACAAACACTTTCAAAAGTATTTTACATTTATATTGCCTTAGTGCTGATAGTTTTTGAGTGATTGAATCACAGACTCACATTTCACCACCAGCTGTCATTCAGCTTCCATTTAAATATTTTCTGTGTAAGATAAAACTACAGTTCAACCATCTTAATTAATACCTGTGCATTTAGGGTTCTTGTAGATTAATTTCTGCTGTGGTGTAAACATCTTTACTTAGCAGTTACCCCTCATAACATCTGATAGGATGACACCTGTAGATCGCCTGACTATATATGCAGGGACAACTCACAACAGAATTTTTTTTTAAGCATTGGAAATTTTGTTACTCCTTTAAAAAACATATTTTAAGATGTTTAAAAATAGTTTACTAAAGATTCCAGTTCTGGTGTAGGTACCTGTTTTATGGATTAATTTAGCATTTAAAAGCTACTTATGTATTTTACAGTATGTCATTTAAAATTTCCCTTACCTTCTGTTCACTTTTAAGACTTTTATAAAATCAACAAGAAATATAAAAATAAGTCTTCAGCTTTTAAATTATTTTACCAAGTACTCTGACTAAATTATTTGTTTCAGTTATATCTTTTTTGTCATCACTTCTATCCCCTTTACCCTAGTTAATCAGTATTAAGCTTTCTAAATTGATTTACCCTCCTGAAAAAATTCTGTTAACACCTCCTAGTACTTCTGCCTTAGGAATTTCTCAGATATCAAAAGTAGTATATTTAAGGTACTCTGATCAGGGTATTTCCTTTCCCTACCCTGTTATTAGAGTAGAGCATCATGTTCTTTGTAAATCCCTGCTATGTGTGATTGTGCATTTATTGAAAGATTTCTTAATCTTGAGAATGGAACTTTATTTATTAAATAGTTTAAAGAAACTCTGATATATTCAAGCAATCATACCTCTTTATATGAGGAACATAAATAGCTACCTATATAAATGGCATAACATAGGTATTATGTAAAATATGACAGGGAGCATATCACAGGACTGCAGTTTAATTCTGGTGTTTGTAGAATGTGCTAAAGTTAGAGAGCTGAGCAGTTCTCTTGTAAAATATGATAGTATACTAGGGCCTCCTCCCTATTGGCCAATATTACTTGGTACTTTTTTTAAAGGCTATATATTTCATTTGGAATCAGCAAAGTTTTCCATCATTAAGTTTTATTCCAACAAATAATTCTTGGCTTATTGGTAATTTTTAGTTTACTCTGAGAATATTTTCAGCTGCTAAAGCAATTATTTCTCAATTAATATATGGATTAGTTAGTAGTGTGGTTTTTGATATGTAATATATTTTTAAATTAATATATATATATTTTTCCTTTCATAAACATATTTGTATTTGGCCTACTGATTTCTCTCTGCCTTCCTTCACACTGTCTTTTCACAGCTACAATATATGCCATTATATCTGTCACAGGCTAGTAGAGAACACAGATAAGTGAAGGAACTCACTAGTGGGGAACACACATGAGTAAATAAGTGACAATACAAAGCAGCCACTAGCTGCCAAGAGGAGAGTTAGCAAGTTTTTCAGAAAAGAACATTTGCGTTTGGAAATGGTAGGTCAGAAGGGATGGGAGTATAACCTTTCAGCAAGAGAAGAATGATCGATATAGACTTCAAGAAACCATTGTTCTCTATGTAGCAAGGAGGGAAAAGACACATAATTTGAGAAAAACACATAATTTTTAAAATTTGTATTTTTTAAAACCCATTGAAGAACTATGTCACAAAGAAGTTTAAATGAATTAAGTTCGAGAGAAAGATGACCCCTTCCTAGACAAGAAGAAATTGGTGGCCACTTGCATCCCTGGGAACATTGAGACTGGAGGCATAGTGGGCAAAAAGAGCAGGACTACTATAGGCACGGGATCTTTTATGGCCCTAGGAGAAACCGGCTGAACTTTTAATAGCCACATGTGTGTTTATATGACAGATTGGAAGATGGGATCCTCAAACACAGCTAATTTGCTCTAGATGCCAAATCTCATCATGATTTTTACTGAGTAAGCAATTAAAGTCTTACAGTGTTTATGTCCCAAAGCCTTGCTAGAAGGAAGAGACCTGTTTCCATACTCAAGACATTAGAAACAGAAAGTGAACTAGAACTAAATGAAGGGGTGACTCAGCTCCAACGCAGATAAACTCCTGATTATTTTGAAGAGATCCACTCTTCACTCTAGCTTCTTGACACAGGAAATGAAGTGCCTTCTCTGGGGGAAAGTATTATCAACTTCATTATCTGTTGTTCTTTTATACACAATGTCTGGCAAAAGTAAAACTATTGATTGACATGAAGAAAGACAGGAAGATAGACAGACAGGCAGACAGACAGACAGGAAGGAAGGAAGGACATGGGATCCATAATCAAGAGAAAATAAGTTGAGAGGAGCAAACCCACAGGTGACGCAGATATTTGAATTAGCAGACAAGACCTTTTTAAAAAAATATATTTTATTGCTTTTTTTTAGAGAGAGGAAGGGAGAGGGAGGGAGAGATGGAAACATCAGTGTGAGAGAGAACATCAATCAGCTGCCTCCTGTATGCCCCCTACTGGGAATCAAGCCTGAAACCCGGGCATGTGCCCTGACTGGAATCGAATTGGTTACCTCTTGGTGCATGGGATGATGCTCAATCCACTGAGCCACACCGGCTAGGCCATAGACAAAAACTTTTCAAACAACTGTTTTGCTAAAGAATTTGGAGGAAAAGATGGTCCTAATATCATGTTTTTTAAACAAAAGCTAACTATTAACCTGATATTTAAACTACATAAATGTTTATACCTTTATGGAACTTTTAGTTAAATAAATTCACAATTTAAAAAAAATTCTGTTTTGTCCTTTCGGTGTTGCTCAGTGGTTGAGCATCGACCCGTGCATCAAGAGGTCACCAGTTTGATTCCCGGCCAGGACATATGCCCAGATTGTGGGCCCGACCTCCAGTGGGGGGCATGTGGGAGGCGGCCAGTCGATGTTCTCTCTCATCGATGTTTCTATCTCTCTCTCCCTTTCACTTCCTCTCTAAAATCAATAAAGAAAAAAAATCTTTTTTAAATCCTGTTTTGAATATTTGTTGTTCAGAAGATGAGAGTAAATTAAAACAGGCAACTTCATATTTCAGATAAGAATTTTTAGTGAGCCCTGGCCAGTTTGGCTCAGCGGTTAGAGCATTGGCCTGCGGTCCAGAGAGACCCAGGTTCAGTTCCCGCTAAGGGCATGTGCCTCGGTTGCAGTTTGTCCCCGACCCTGGTTGGTTGTGTGGGTGGCAGCCACTCGATGTGTCTCTTTCACTTTGATGTTTCTCTCTCTCTCTGTCCCTCCCACTCTATCTGAACAAAAAATGGAAAAATGTCCTCGGGTAAGGATAAAAAAAAAAAAAAGAATTTTTAGTGAAATAATTAAGGTTATCAGATATGCTATGTAGCCATCTATATATTTTATTTTAAAGTATAGAATAAGCATCATCACCAGGTGGTTTGAATACCAGCAGAATTCTTAAAATACTACATTCTAGTTTCTCTGCAGTGGTAGAAATAAGATTATTCTTGTTTATACCACATAGAAGAGATCAGCAGGTCAGTCCTATTACAAATAGAAAACTGTAGCACAGGATCAGAATAGCTTGGTTAATTACTGATTGTATATGGATTTAAAGATCTGAAATTCCTTCCACGTCTAAATATGCTTTCCACATGTCTGCCAACAGGTACAACTGTAACTGCTTTAAGATTGTTTAAGAATTTACCTGTAAGAAAGCAATTTTACTCAACTGCTAAAAAATGTAAAGATGAAATAAAAAAGATCCAAGATCTCCTCATAAGCTATGGAATACTTAAACCTGACTTAAGGATTATTTTTATACATAACAAGGTAAGCATTATTGTACTTCTATAAGGTGTTTTTGGTGTATGATATATTAAAGGGATAGTGTATTTTATTTAAATCAGCTAGACATGTAAAAAGTCTTCTTAAAATTTGTCCTCATTTGTTTAGTTTAATCTTAGTATATAGTCTTTACTTTGTCACCTAGTATCTATATAAAATCTGACTGAACCTTTCATTTCTTAATTTTTATAATTAGAGATTCCACCAATAAACTTTTCCATCCAAGAAATGTTTGAGTGTTTCCTAAACATAAAGATGAATAAAGACTTGTTTTGTTTTATTTTTTCCTTTAAGGAGTTCACAGTTTAGTGACGTTTTCCATCATCTATTCTAAACTGTTCTTTCTTTGGAAGAATGTTTTTGTTTTGTTTTGTTTTTTGTTTTTTTTGGTTTTTTTTTTTTTTGGTTTTTTTTTATCCTCACCCGAGGACATTTTTCCATTTTTTGTTCAGGTAGAGTGGGAGGGAGAGAGAGGAACAGAGAGAGAGAGAGAAACATCGATGTGAAAGGAACACATCGAGTGGCTGCCACCCGCACAACCGACCAGGGCCGGGGACAAACTGCAACTGAGATACGCGCCCTCAGCGGGAACCGAACCCGGGTCTCTCAGGACCGCAGGCCGACGCTCTAACCGCTGAACCAAACCGGCCAGGGCATGTTTTTGTTTTTTAAAGGAAACTCTACTTTATTTCTTTTCTATTTTTCAAAGCAGGGCTGATAAGGAACTTTATGAATCTTAGGGGAAATAAAGTTTTATGTAAATTCTGATTATTTTGTTTTTCATAAAATTTCACATATGTACCTTGAAATAGTTAATGGAAGGAGAACAGAAACACACAGCAGAAGTGTGGAAGCTTGATGGGAAGTGAGGAGTTAACATTTGTTGATACTTAATGCCAGGACCTGTGTAGGTGCATTAAACTCCTATAATCCACAGCAACAATCAAGTGAGGTTAGACAAACCAGTTTTGCTGTTGTCCTCTGAAATGAACTCAGGGAGGTTCAGTACTTTGCTCAGTGTTGCAGAGCTAGCAAATTGTTGTTATGTGATTTGAAACTAACATGCCTACAGAGTACATACAGGTCTTAACACTCTATTGTGTTGCTTCCCATTTTAATAGTAGATGATATTTATATAGTTCTTTTCCAGGTTTCAGAGCACTTACAACAGCTTTGTGAGTTAGACAGCATTATCTCTATTTGTATGGGGAATTTGAAGCTCAGAGTGATCAAAGGAATTGTTTTCTCAGAGTGATCAGAGGAATAATTATATATTTTCCAGTAATAGTGCTTGGGTCAGAACCATTTTCATTCAGTTTTCTTTCTACTCCATGTGTTTTTACTTGTTATTAAGATTTTGTATTAAACCAAGCTATGGTGTAATATTTATAATAAAAGTCTTTGGTCATAAAAAAGAAAGAAAAACATTAAGAATAGTCAACCACCTGTTCCTGCTGGCATAGAGCTCAATCAAACGATACCTTGAGATCCCTTCCAGCTCTACCATGCTATGATTCCTCAGGATGTTAATGCATGGAGGCTCATCCTGCTAATATAAATAACCCTATGACCTCTTGATCCAAAAGATATTTAATAATTAAAAGTTGAATGTAACCAAGCAAGAAAAGATAGAAGAAACGATCAGGAAGAGAAAACAGATGGAAAAGGTAAAATATTAAGATGGAAACTATGTGTTTATAAAAGTGTGTACAACTAAAGAGAAAAGTTGAGTAAGAGAAAACATAATTGAAGAATAAAATAAGATTATTGCCTCATGTAATGGAAATAACTATTTAAAGTCACATATATATATATATATCTTGTAAGCTTTGGATATGTTTATATTATTTTCCCAGCTACTATAAGATCATCAGTATAGGCATTTTCTTTTGAGAATGGAAAGTAGGATTTTGTAATATACTCCATTTTATTATTTTTGGAGGCCAACATATCTGAACTTATGTTGAGCAAACATGAGTCCCTCAATGACCTTCAGTAATTTCAAGTCCTGGAGAGTATGCTGAGAGTGTTACACAATGAAAGTAATGAAATATTATCAAAAGTCTTACAGTAAAATTAGGTACTAGTTGTTACAAGGAAATCATGGAACAAACCACATTAAGCAGTCTATCTTTAAGCTTTTTTCTCTTAGTACAAATTGTTTTTCTACTTTTTTGTTTCTTAATAATACTATTATGCCTCAAATTTTCAAATATATTGTTAAACTTCGCAAAATAGCATTGCTTATTTTCCTAAATCTTTTTAACATTGAGTACAGTTCTGGTCTTAGTCTTTTTAGTCTTTTTCTTTTAAACATGCTTACTTTTATCCTGTTTTATGTTGTTTTCTGAAGAATATGTTTGCCTTTGCTTAAAGTGACAATACCGGCATCTTTTTTTGAAGATTTTTTTTTTTTTTTTTGCATTAGAAACAAACAATCACATTACACATAATATGAGAAGTACTATTGCTATTTTGACATCTTGGATTAGATAGTGTTCCTTCTTTTTATGAAGGTTTAACCTGCCAAGACATTCTTTGAATACTGATAATGTCAATGTTCTTGCCAGTATGGTTATGTTAGAAAGAGGTGTTTTTCTTCTTTCATCATCATGTTCCTTGAAAGCATATTGAATAATGAGACAGCCAAAGGGAAATAATTTACAAGTGGATTCAGTGAGTTTATTTAAAGTAAATATTATTTGGAGAAATGTTAGAATCATTCCTTAGGATGAGCACTACAGTTTTCAGCTTTAGTTGTAATAACTGAATTCCTGTAAAGTCCTGCATATATTTTTATTTATAAAGTAGTTATTTTCCATAGTTAGAAGTTTTTCTTAGTATGATAATATCTGAACCCAATTTAGTATTCTTAGCTATTTCATATGTACATGAGTAAGTCTGTAGATCACTAGTTCAGAACATGGTGTTAAATGTATGGTTTCCAATAAGAGAAACTTTCATTCTTCATACTTGTAGTTTTTTGTGAATATTTTCTTGGGCCAAAAATATTGCTTGTAGTTTTAAAAATTGTTAGGAATTGAATTTTTGTCTTCATAATTAGAAGCCTACTGATACTGCAAAAGCTGAATTGGATATCTTTTGATATAAGAAGGTTTTAACTGGTACAAAAGAGAAGTAATTGAAGGAATGGCTTTCCACATACTCTACCTTCTTGTGACAGGAGTGCTAAGTTTTCAGGATCATTGTATATATTTTTGAGGTTTAGAAGAATGATGACACAGTTTTGAAGAGTTGAATCTCTAGTTTCCATCAATCTGGAAAGAGATAGGGCCTTAGCCAGGAACAGAAATCCAGAAAACTGGCCATAGAGGTTTGGGAGTGAGTATGGTAGCTCCCTCCCTTGACATAGGTTTTGGTCTCTAGGAGGGTACTCTTTTGTGGTGGTGGCCAAAGATTTTGGGGTGTGGGTGACCAAGAATGAGAAAGAAGGGACTCATTTATTGGACTATAAAAGATAAGTGGTAATTTATATTCTGTCTCCTACATTTATAGTCTTCTCTTTGTATCTTTTTTATTTTGTTATTATTTGTATCGTTTAGCCTTTTACTGCAATATTTTGTAATGTCCCAGTTTTGTTTCAGCTGTGCTATGAGGAATCAAGGAAAAGTCTTTTGCCCATAGTTGGACCAATGTTAAAGGGTCACACCCTCTTCTCCATCCCAGAGAAATTCAAGTTTAGGATTGTGGATTAAATGCTCCTTCCTTAGGAAGAAATTATTCTTTCAGTTCCAACCTTGAAAGTTTGAGTGGGTTTTGTTTTTGTTTCTTTTTTAATTAATGAAGATAGCTGTCTCTTCAGATATATTTTATTTTATTTTTTAAGAAGCTGAATAATTTTTATTTATTTTTATAACTTTTCTGTTTTATTTTAATAATTTTATTTATTTTTTTAAGTTTATTTATTTTGTTACAGATGTTTCTCCATTTTCCCCTACTGATTCTCCCCTCCCCCTCCTTCCCTACCCTGTCCCCAGCTTTGTTGTCCATGTATGTTGTTCATGCATACACGCATATAAGTTCTGTGGTTTATCTCTCCCCCCACCCCCTCTTCTGGGGATTGTCAGTCTGTACCCCACTTCTACGTCTCTGGGACTACCCCATTCCTTAGACTGTTATGTTCATTATATGCCACAAATAAGAGATATCATATGATACTTGTCTTTCTCTGTTTGGCTTGTTTTGCTTAGGATGATACTTTCCAGGTCCCTCCATGTCATCTCAAAGGATAAGAGATCTTTCTTACAGCTGCATGGTACTCCATTGTGTGTATTTAACTTTTTTAACCATTCGTCCCCTGATGGACATTTGGGCTGTTTCCAGATCTTAGTTATTGTAAATAGTGCTGCTACAAACATGGGGGTACATATATTCTTTCTGATTGGTGTTTCAGGCTTCTTAGGGTATATTCCTAGAGGTGGGATCACTGGGTCAAATGGAAGTTCAATTTTTAATTTTTTGAGATAACACCATATTGTTTTCCATAGTGGCTGCACCAGTCTGCATTCCCACCAGCAGTGTACTAGAGTCCCCTTTTCTTCACACCCTCACCAACACTTGTTGTTTGATGATTTGTTGATGGCAGCCATTCTGGCAGGTGTGAGGTGATACCTCATTGTTGTTTTAATTTGCATCCCTCTGATGATTAGTGATGTTGAGCATTTCTTTATATGTCTCTTAGCCATTTGTATGTCCTGTTGGGAGAAGTGTCTATTTATATTTTTATATTTTTTTATTGTTAACATTATTACAGATGTTCCCATTTACCCCTGCCCTTTGCCTACCTTCACCCATCCCCCGACCCCCCACCCCCTTTATCCCTCCAGCCATTACACTGTTATCTCTGTCCATGGACTTTACATATATGTTCTTTGGCTAATCTTTTACCTTCTTTCATCTAGTCCCCCTTACCCCCTCCCCTCTGAACGCTGTCAGTCTGTTCCATGTATTCATGCCTTTTTTTT